TTATATTTTTTAAATTAATATTTATTAAATAACAATGCAATTTTTAATTTTTTAAAAAATTTTTCCAAAAAATTTTGAGTACTACTATATATAGTGGGTGCCTATATTATTGTAAATACTTTTTTTTTTACAATAAAAAAATTTTTAATGAAAAAATTGAGACTTGTTATATTAAATTTAAATTTATTATATTATAAGGCATATTGTATTTAAATTTTATATAATTATAATGATCCACTTAAAATATATAGTAAAAAAACTTTAAAGGTACAAATTAATATCAAATTAAAGTTCAAAAATATTTTTTTATTTTTTATATTATAAAATGTAAATAAAAATATATATAATAATATAAATAATTTTTTTGCATTTTTTTTTACTTTAAATAAGTCATATTTTTTTTTATTTTTTTTTACTTATTAATCAATAGGCAATAAAAAAGATTTAACTGCTATACAAAAAGAAACTATTATTTATAATTTCTTAAAAAAAGACTTATATCATATTATTGCTATTAATGTTAGCTGTAAGAAATCTATTTTAGATAATATTATATAATAGTATCATGAGACTAAAACTACAGAGCCATAAAGTAAATGTCTTGGATATTTATTACTTCTTATCATTTCTGATTTCTTCTTTTTTAAAACTCTTGTAATTAATAAAAATTACTATCTAAATGCTACTCAGATTACTACTATTTTTGTTGCTAAAAAAAAATTTAATATATTTAAAAAACTATTCATTATATTCTCAAAAAAGAAAATATAAGTTTCTGTATTGTGCATTCAAAATCACTAATCTTGTTTATTAATGTATTAAAAAGACCTACCTGATGTCTTGCCTACAAAAACTGAACTGTCTGTTACTTTAGATATATTCTTTGGTTAAATGAATCTTCTTTTCAACTTTTTTAATAAGTTTGTTATCAAGTTTAATATAAACTACACAAGAAATAGGATATCAAATACTTGAGTTATACTGTTAAACAAAGCCCTAGCTATATGTTCTGTACTATTTTTTTAAATATGGAATTGATCTCTTAGTTCCACTAATTAACAATGTCACTGGAGCTTTGCACATTGAGATTTTATATAAGTATATTATACCAACCTTAGAAAAATATCTGAAAAATATAAATTACAGTTATCCTTTATTTCAACAAGACAACATAAGACCCTATACTTCAAAAATTATTATTATATTTTTTGAAAACTATAAGATTAGAATTTTGAATTGGCTTATCAAAAATTCTAATTTAAATCTGATAGAAAATCTCTGACATAAGGTTAAAATATTTATGTGTCATAAATCAAAACTAGTAATCTTAATGATTTTAAAATTCTTATTAAACAAGTATGACATGATATTCTATTAGAAACTTGTTATTGATTGGTAAATAGTATATTAGATCATATCACAGCTTGTATTGTTGCTGATGATGATTTTTTAAATATTAATATTTACTTTACTTTTTTTAAGAAAAAATAAAAAATTTTTTTTACCAATTTTATAATTTCAATTTGATGCTAATTTTCATTACCAAGGTTTTTTAGTTATAGATTTTAAGTGAATTATTATAATTACATAAAATTAAAGTATGATATATTTTATAACATAATAAAAATATGTGTTAATACAAAAAAAAATTTTTTTCTATATTAATTTATTTTATTATATAATAAAAGTGTCTACAATAATATAGGTCATTATATAAATTTTAAAAACATATTGATAAGAATAAGAAAAAAAAAATAAATCCAATATTAATTTATAAAATAATATAAAAATATAAAAAAAAAAACTGTCAACAGTAAAAAAAATTATTAATATTAATATAAGACTATAGACAAAGAAAGAGATTACAAAATAAATTAATAAATTAATTAATTAAGATATAATATATAAAGTAGCAAAATTCTAAACAAAATATTGCAATTTTGAAGTAAAAGATTTTGTTAGCAGATTTTAAATATAAAATATAAAAGAATTTATAATTACAATATATTATCCAATAAAGAAAAGAAAATAAATTTCAATTAAAAAATTTCAAGAAAAGTATTTAAACTCAAAAGTATATACAAACTATAGAAAAAAAGTCAAGTTAAGATACAGAATGTATCAATATAATAAAGAATAAGGAAAAAGAAAAAGCTATTAGCTTTAACACCATATAAACAAAGACAAGAGCAATATTAATACAAGAAAATTCATTAATTAATAATAATATGTTTATAAAAATTTTTATAAAAACATTATAAAATAAAATAAAAAAAAAAACAAATGGTTGAAAATATAAAATATTAAGATTTTGTCAAAGTGAACTGTAGTAATAAACTGTAGGTAATTAATTTAAATTTTTTTAGAAAAATAAACAATTTTATTCATTTTTAAGATTATACTTAGAGGTTAATAATCAATAATAAGTATATAAATATTAATTTGGTTTTTATATAAAAGTCTTATACTAATATGTTTTCAATTTCAATAATTAAATAAATATAATAAATACTTGTTTTATTATGAAAAAAAATAATAATAATAAAATAAACACAATAAATACTTGTTTGCTTATAAAAAAAATAATTTTTTTTAAATAAAATAATAATAGTTTTTTATATTTAATAATAATTATATTTTATTTTATTTTATAATTTTTAAATTAATATTAAATAATTAAAATTAATTTAGTAAGTTGCTACAGTTGAACCTCTATAAATTAATAATTTTGAAATTATTTAAAGTTTTATAAAATTAAAATATTATTAAAATACAAAAACAAATTATATAATAATTTTAAAAAATAAAACCAGAGAATTTTATAAATTTAGAGAAATAGTTAATAAATTATTAATTTATGAGTATTAGTTTATAGAGGTTCTACTGTATTTAGGAAAATGTTTAGCTTTAGTATAATCTTATTTTATTATTGTTTTTTGACCAAAGATTAATTGATTAGAAGTAAAAAATAATACTAAATTTATTTGATTCATTTGTGATAATATCCAGTGATTAGGTGATATAATTTCATAATTGGAAACTCATTGTAATCGGAATAAGCAAAAATAACGGACAAAAAATTGGGACTGAAAACCAAGCAACTTGGTTATAACGTATACTTCATAAAACTTCCATACAAAACAACGAGCACCTTCTTGCCAGTAGATTAAAAATCTAGTTAGCTGCACGGATCTCACCAATCTACGAAATCCCTTTCTTCAGTAAATTGCTTTTGGTACCGTCCCTCTCCAGCTTGTTGTCTCCTTTTTTGCCTTTAAACATAAAACACGCACCAGAAGCCACTGAAAAAAAAAAAAAAATGTACCTTTGCAATGTAAATCATATTAGCCCACTCCTAACACTCACGCCCCCAACACTTTTCCTTTTTTCAGTGTTCTTAGTTATCCACAACTAATCCCGAATCCCTTTCCATAACCCGAAATGTCTGACCGCTGTGAAGATACCACCCATTCCCCCTCGGAACGTAAACGATCTCTTCCATCCGACGACGAAGATGATGACCTTAGTGTTGAAGAAGGAAGAGCAAGGTACAAGCGTCCTGCTTTAAATAATTCAGGAGGAGAAGAAGACGCTTCTTCAGAATATGGTGCGGAAGATACCTATCGAGACCCTGATGAACCTAATACAGAAGATAGACCTGCATCCCCTGAATCTGATGCTATGTTGGATGTGAATGTTCGTTCACCCGCTGCTGCGGAAAAAGAGAAAAATTCGGAAACAGAATCTACACTCGCTACTATTTCTTTGCGTGCACTTGTCACGACCAAGGAAGCCGGTGTTATTATTGGTAAAGGGGGAAAGAATGTTAGCGAAATTCGAGATAGATCCGGTGCTAAAGTTACTATATCAGAAATGGTTCAGGGCACATATGAAAGAATTCTGACGGTTACTGGACCTTTAGATACTGTTGCAAAGGTATTTTATTGTTTTTGTCCCTAATAAATTTACAAGTTAAATTAATAAATATTATCAAATTGCTGAATTAAAGTGCAATGTTAATTTCTGAAATTCTAATATGCAGGGTTTTATAAATTTATATTTGAACATTTATCTAATCAAATCCTAAAAATTCATGAAAATTTGTAATTTTCGATTATATAGGCTTTCGCTTTAGTAGCCCGGAAAATCTTGGACGAAAATTTGGATACACCATCCACATCTAGTTCAAAAGCCACTACAATTAGACTTCTTGTTCCTCATTCTCGTATGGGTCCCGTTATTGGTAAAGGGGGTTCCAAAATTAAAGAAATTCAAGAAAAATCCGGTGCAAGATGTCTTGCCTCCGAAGAAATGCTTCCTCAATCTACAGAACGAACAATTTCCATCACAGGAGTTCCTGACTCTATTCATATTGCTGTCTTTCATGTGGGAGAGGAGTTAGCCAAGCATCAGAACGATCGTAACGCCAATATCACTCAATATCGACCCCAGCAACGTCTTATTTACCATCCGGCTGCACCGGTTGCAGGAAATCATCCATTTTACGTAGGACTTCCTCCTGGTCCTCCCTATTCACGTGAATTCATGCAAGGTCCTCCAGGACCAATTAACCATCAACCACCTCCCGGATCTCAGGCTCAGCAAATTTTTATTCCCAATGATATGGTTGGCTGTATCATCGGCAAGGGAGGTAGTAAAATAAATGAAATTAGGCACCTCTCTGGTTCGCATATTAAAATTGCAGAACCACATGGAAACACCAATGAACGGTTGGTTACTATTACTGGAACTCCGGAGTCGAATCAAATGGCTCTTTATCTACTTTATAGCCGTCTTGAAGCTGAAAGGAGGAAACCAAGCGTGTAGCTTGTATGTACATTTTTTTTTATTCTCGACAACCAAGTGTGATCCTCAACGAAAACGTGGTTACCATATCGGTGTATCTTGCATTGCTTTATCTAACAATAGGTCATTTGTAGGATTCAATTTTCGATGAACATTTTTACGTATATATTTTTAAAGGAAAAAAACGATTTCAACAGTTACATTTATTATTTTACTCAATTTCACGTTGAATTTTTTTTTTTTATTTCTGATGAATATAAATTTATTTGACATGTTTACCAAAAGAATGATATCACTTCTTTCCTTAATCATGCTAATCCAAATGATTAATTTTAAAATAAAAAATATCATTCTGTGTAGGTTTATTTCATGTAAATCTATTTTGATTCTCACGATAACTGTACATTATATTTGTGTGAACCTTTTTTGTTAATTTAATAAACCCAAGTTTGGTAACTTATGAGCTATTGCAGCATATCGCACGGAAATAAGCTTGTTTTATATATGAAAAATGAATATTGGTTAAATATTAACATGAAACAATACTATTATTATTAAGAGCTATTTTTTAATCTAAAAGCAAGGTACAAAGAAATATCTATAAATGCATTTCAATTGTATTAATTACAGTGTGGAACAAAAACTGTAAATATTTTTTATTTTAAAAAAATTATATTTAAAAATTATTAAATTATTATTTTTCTTTTTTTTTTCTTTTTTATGCTGCAAACAAGTATTAAATGTGAAATGTTTATTAAACATAAGTTTATTGTCATTACATTAAGAATCCTACATTATCTCATTTGATGGGAGTTAATTCTAGCCTATTATATGAAAAAATCTCTAATTTATAAAAACACCAAGTAGGTGATAACAAACTATTGGTGGTCCATGAATGGCTAATGCCTATCCATAAATAGCTAAGTTAAGGTAAATGGAAATATTTTTTTTAGTAATATAGAAGATTTTCAAGAATTTAGTTTTGATTTGATAAGTTTTTATTAAGTCTTTGTGTGATGTTATTATTATTGTTATTTTTAACAGGTTAATACTGGTTTGGTTCTTGTTGGATTGGAATGTCAAAATTGAATTGGCCATTGGAATTGTATAGATAATTTGGAGAGGTTGAGCTAGTTTTGATTTTTGATTTTGAGAAAATTTTTGATATTGTTGAAATAATACAATAAAGTATATTATATGTTGTTATTTGGAAGAGTTTGATTAAGACAAGTAGAACCCAAAACTTTACTTGAATATACTTTTAGAAAAAAATTGATGATGTTGAGAATAGTGAGAAGAATAGTTATTATAAAAGTAATAAAGGAGGAGGTACATAAAGATAAAGTTAAAAAGGAGGACTGACTGCTATGGACCTTTCTTCATGCAATTAAAAAACAAGCAAGACTTTTAAACTTGTTTGGTCTTTAACCAAAAGTTCCATTTTAATGCAACAGTAGTTTTTAAAGTCCTTATGTCCTTGAGTTTATGGTATATTTGGCATATTAAAGAGAAAGAGGAAAGCACTTCTTTCAAAAAAAATACTATAAAAAGAAATTTTCAAGAAATCAGTAATAAACAAGTAAGAGTTTTTTTTTTAATTATTATTTTTTAATTGGCTAAGGGCATTAGATGCAAGACAGTTATTAAACATTTGTTTTATAGTCATTACATTAAACATCTTTACAAAGTAGACTATTGCTATCCTAAATGCAAATTAATGCTATCTGATGATCACCATTTTCAGTAATCCCGGTTTTTCTTAGACCAATTATGACATACCTAGCTATATGAATTTTTAAATATCAAGTAGATGATTCCCACACCAGATGGGATTTACATAGAGGGTAGGAATCCTACCACTGGTTTAAATTACCTAACCTACTAGATCCAGTCTTGACTGCATCCGTCATGGGTGGAGCACATTGTGGAATATTATTATAGAGATTGATTTCAGTATTTTATTTGCTATTATTACTGATCCTCGAGATATATCACTAGTATAGTGCAGCACTATTGTTTTCATCACCTGTGGAACTGGCGTCCTTGCTTGAATTCTGATTTAATCTTGTAGATTCTCACTAGACTTACTTGGTTTAATGATTTTTGTCTAGTTTTCTCACCACCTGTGACTAATACCTTGCCTATTGGCCATATGATTAAGTTCTGTGAAACACCACCATTGGGATAGATCTACAAGCTCCAGATTGGGATATATTAGCTTAGAATTAACCTCTTTATATTGTATGATGGAGTCTGCCATTGCCAGTTTGGATTAGAGTTTGTGGACTTATTACCGGAGTTAGACCAGAAGCCTTTTCTCATGCAACCTTTCTTGTTTTGACCTGTTTTTAGCCCGCAATCGTCAGAAAAACCAGAGGTCCCATCTTCATACAGCCTAACTAAATTTGGAGATAGATTTGTCAGTTGATTGGGTACGACATGAATTAAAAACCGGTCAACCAATCATGAAGGTGATAAATTTTTGTAACCAGGTGGAGTTAAATCTTAGATCTTCTTCTGGTGACCTATGGAGTATTACCACTGTGCTATAAATTCATAGGTCAATAATAATAATTATTATTTGACAAGCATTAAAATGTATAAATTTTAAATTAATTTAAATTATTATTTCATTTTTTTTAAAATCTTTTGTATTAAAAACAAAATCAATATAAAATATATTTTTTGTTTTATAAAATTTATATATAAAATAAAAAAATACATTGTTAATTTATAAATACAAATTAAAAAATTTTAAAATTTTAAAATTAATAAATAATATCATTTAATTTATTGTACTAACATATAAGAGATATTGTTTCTTTTACAATATATATCTTAATATATACAAATCAAATAAAAAAATAATGTTTACTAGGATTCCTAATAATATCATTTTGATACTCAGTTCAAAACCCTAATAGTAAAGCATTAAGATATTACAATTGTTAATATTGTTTTTTTCTATCAATTAGTTGGACTTTGCCTAGTATACTATTTTATTTAATTCACATGTGTATTTCTTGTATTACAGGAATTACTATTTATGAACTATTCTATATATTGTTAAATTATATTAATTTTATTCTATATTGGCTTGTTGTTATTGATTTAATTCAAAGATATTAAATCAAGAATTAATATATCAAGATGTTATTGATGTTATTATTCTATCTATATATTAGTTTTATTTTTAATTAAAAAAATTAAAAAAATATTGAAATGAAAAACTGAAGATAGTATTTATATTTGACAAATAGAACTTTATAAAAAAAATCTTTTAAATCTATTCTATTTTTTTTTTGCAAATAAGCATAAAATGCAAAACTTTATTTACTAAATGATAATACTGTTATTACATTAAGCATCTATTAAAGTTAATGCTAGCCTATTGCTTTTTTATCCCAACATATCAACTGCACCTCGTGAATAGATCCACATGCCAAGAGGGAGGTATCAAGAAGATGGAAATCCTGTCTTCAGTTTTAAACTACCTGATCTTGTGTTTCCAGTTTTTGTAAAGGTCTGACTGTGATTTAGCATGTTAGTCATTATTAGATTTCTTTTTACATTCTTACTATCCACTCACATAATTTATAGTACTCATGGACTTATTATTTTACATTTCCTAATAAATGTTTCAAGAGTTGTTCCTATAGTTGGCATATACTACCAAATCTGGAGACCTACAGGCCTAGTGGGATGTGACTTCTAAATCCTCCAGTGAACACTCTATAAGCTCTTGATTGGCTTTAGTTATTAAATTTAGAGAACAAATACTAAGCAAAGTGCAACTTCTGTAAAGCACCACAATGGTTTTTCATAATTGGTGCTATACAATAATCCTTTTTAAAGTTGCCTAAGTAGGTTAACATGCTTCTTGCTATAGAGTTTGCCATGCCAGTTGAGGTTGATAGCTACAGTTCTATCTATATCAGTAGCCTAGTAGCCAATATGGCATGATTCTCTTCTGCTAATCTTTTGGAGGGGGAAACTGACCATGGTTTTTCAGATTTGTAATGAGAAGAGATATGTATCTACTGATTGAAACATCCAAGAATAAGTTTTCACTAGAAAAGCCTACTATATTAGATAGAGAGAAACCATTACCAGTTTAATTGAGAATGAGGTTTGAAGTGAGTGGTTCTAAAAAGAAAAATTCCTAGAAAGAAAAAAAACCTACCTAGAGAGAAGGGATAAGAGAAGTTGGGGAAGGGAATAGACAAGTGGATAAAAAAAAAATTAATTACACTCAGGCTTGTAATTGCTAGACGTACACAGGGCCTCGCAAAAAAAAAATTAGTTGTTTAGGCCTCTTTAGTTCTTGTCTCAGACTGCTGACATGTGCAGGCTTGATCTGTTTATGCTTTTCTAAGCAAGAGTGCTTCTTTTAGATATTGAACTCCAATGGTTAGAAAAGTATTGTATGGTATTAGTACAACTCAAACTTGACCTGCTTGGGATTTCATCTTGCATAGAAGAAAAGAAGAGGAAAGGAAGAAAATTTTCAAAAAAGGAAGTTTTCTGATGAGGTAGGAGTAAGTAGGAAAGAGTTTTTTTTTTTAGATCTATTTCTATTATTTCTTTTAAAATATTAAAATATTTATATTAACTTATTATTTATAAATTATTTTATCTATTAGAATTTATTACAGTTACCTTTTTTCTCTCTTTAAATGAATGGTCAAGTTTGATCCTAAGTATATAAAACTCTTAATAAAATTACTTCTATAAATGCATACCCTCTATAAATGCATATCCTCTATAAATGTATATTTTTCAAAAAAATTTTTATGGTCCCAAGAAATATGTATTTAGAAAGGATTTACTGTATTTAATTATTAAAGTAATCTTAGAATTAAATTTTCTTAATAATTTGCAAAAAATATATATTAGATATAAAAAAATAATTATCAAATTACCTAATTAAAAATAAAGATTATATTGCATTTATATAATATTATAATTTTAATATTTATTAAATTAATAAAAATAATAACTTTTATAAAAAAAACAGTATT